GAAGACTCTCTCCTCTTTCATCACTGCATAAAAAGAGCCGAACTTTAGATGATTTTATTACAGAGCTGTGGTCCAAAGTGGGGCTGAGTGTGTTTGGAGCGCTCAGACCTGATCATTACAGAACATCCTTTCATCTGTTCTTTAAGAGGATTATTTGAAATTTGTCATCCCTGCTGAGTAAACAGCACTTCTTCAAACCGAGCAGGAGCGTTTGTGATGAAGGTGCAACAAAGACTCTGACTCCTTAATGAGCCGCTCCGACTCATTCGAGCCCTTTTCATCGTCTGCACCCAGAGAAAATAAAATAACATTCTGCATTTTATGTTGTTGGCTGAGAAGTTTGCTTTGATCAGGAAAACGTCTGAAGCTGGTGGAAGAATTTAATCAGGAACAAGGTTTTGGCTTCAGAATATCTGCGTTAAAAAAGGTTGATTAGGTTAAAGAGAGGAGGGAGGCGGAGGAACGAGCTCAAACCCAAAGACATCATTAAGGTAATGGATTGCTGGTGACTGAAACCAGTTCACTGGTGGGTCCCGGCTTTTATTTTTAGCTCTGAGGACCGGAGAGGCAGAGGAGTCCTCTCAACACAAACGAGTCCATGAAGAGAGAAAACCGTCATCAGAACCACGCCTGGTTTACAGCAGGAACAGCTGATCAGAACAGATCTGAAGTCCAGTTTCTGTCAGAGCTTTACAGTRACTAAGTACATTTACTTTCTTACAGTACTTGTCTTTTTTTTGAGGATTTGTAATTTTACCTAGAATTTTTTTAAATCGTGACTTTTACTTTTACTTAGTTACCTTTAAAACCTAGAAATGATACTTTTACTTCTTTACTTTATAATTTAACACCTGGTTACTTGTTATCAATTAAATCTGTCTGAACTCATCATGAAAGGACTTGTTTATGGGCTCTAAAAAATTATGTGTTGAATTTACTCAACTAAATCATATCAAATATTTCCACTAAACCTAGTAGAGTAAATTTGAGGCGATATACAGCGGGTAAAATAAGTATCGAACACGTCACCATTTTTCTCAGTAAATATATTACTAGAGGTG